GTTTAAAAAGCCCTGCCACGAGCCACACATGCCGACATCTGAGAATGATCAGTCTCACAGTTAGGTGGGTGCATGCACCTGTCAGGAAGTTGACTGTAATCCAGGCGGAGACACCTGTAAGAGAAAGAGACCACAGAAAGGCGCTGAATCTTGGGAGTGCTGTTTGTTTGCTGTATCTGGGGCTCTCAGGTGCCTACTTTCAGACTGCACTGCAGGCTCAGAGAAAGAAGGGGCCACTCCCTCACTTACAGAAGACTTTGTTCACAAAGTCTGCAGCTAGAAGACATTGTACTTAAAAATGAGACTACCCTGCTCAATGCCACTCTCCTTCCTGCTCTCTGTCACCAGCTCCCTCTTTCTGGAAGAGGCAAGGAAGGACGCAGTGCTCCTCTTATTTCTCCAATACAAACAAATGAGTGAGATCAGATTTACAGCCAGAGATGATTGAGGAGCTGCTTACGTGTCTTTCAGAATTTAATCTGCATCACCTGAGGGTCCTCTCTTAATGTGCTTTAAACCTGAAAGGGTGATTTGTTTTCAGAAGTGTTACCTGAGTCAGGTCAAGATGAGGCTCTGTCTCCAAAAAGACCCTTTTAGACATTTAAGCTCTAAATTGGAATGGGTCAGTGACTTTAACTATCATTTGTTCCATTGTTCGTCTGACTGGGAGTAAAACCAAAAACCCAAATCCCCACTGCCGCAGAGTTGATTCCTACTCATAGTAACTCTATTATCAGATTTCTGAGGCTTTAAATCTTTCAGGGAGCAGAGAATCTCAACTTTCTCCTGAGGAGCAGCTGGTGGATTTGAACTGCTGACCTTGTGGTTAGCAGTCCAACCCTTTCCTTAGAGTGCCACCAAGGCTCCAAAAAGTCTATAGCACCTGGTATTCCTGGGTTGTCTCCAATCCAAGTACTATCCAGGCCCAACCCTGCTGAGCTTCAAAGATCGAATGAGAGCTAGTGCAGCCAGGGTAGTATGAGCAAAGAACAGTCACTCCAAATGAGCTCTTGGCAGAAGCACTGCCCTCAGTCTCGGGGGCCATCCTTTGTCAGACCAAGACACTTTGAGTGACTCTACCTTCATCTGTTCCGTTCATGATGGAGACACAGTCCTCCATAACAAGGAAAGGCGAGGCCTTAAACACGTCTTTGACCTGTACATTAAAAGAAAGATGAAGTTGGAGTTTAAATCAACCCTGGGGAGGTTGTGGGTTATGAGTGGGGCTACTAACCACAAGGTCAGCAGTTCAAGCCTACCAGATGCTCTGCAGAATAAAGACGAGGCTCTCTGCTTCTGTAAACTTTTATAGAAAACCAATGGGGCCAGTTCTGCTCTGCTCACAGGGCTAATATGAGTCATATTTGACTCAGTGGCTGTGAGTTTGGTTTTTGAAGTAACCTGAAGCTTTTAACAGGTATTAACAGAACCACTGAAGGGAGTCTGATGGTTTC